AGGGGAAGACCTAGGACACGCTGGAGCGACTACGTCGCTCGGCTGGCCTGGGAACGCCTTGGGGTCCCCCCAGAAGAGCTAGAGGAAGTGTCGAGGGAGAGGGAAGTCTGGGTGTCCCTGCTCAGACTGTTGCCCCCGCGACCCGGCCCCGGATAAGCGGTTGAAGATGGATGGATGGATGGATGGATGTTTTTCCCCTTTGTTTTTATGCAAAGAAGTGCAAGTATATTTGATACATCTTATATGTGATTACATTTTTTAAATTAATTATGATGAAATATAATATTACAAAACATTTCCTGAACATGAAGTGTTTGTGTATGTTTTTATTTTCAAAATGCATCAAGCAGGCTGGATTGAAACCCCAAGCGGGCTGGTTTCGCCCTGTGGCCCATATGTTTGACACTCCTGTGTTAAAGGATCAAAATAGGCCATGTAAAATAAATGTACATAGCCTTTCACTTCTGAAGTGAATGAGGATGAAGGGTAAAACAGAGGCACTCAATTTCAGACTACAATTTTATAAAATTTCATAGATTGAGTGTCGGACAGATTCTTCTTTCACTCTTCTAAATTTATGATAAATTAATCACATTCAGAGAGTATCTGAAGTACACTATTGTAAGGATGTTTGATTATACAGTTAGGTTTGTGAGGTGGCACAGTGTGCCAGACTTTAACGACTGACATCGTCCAACGACTGAATTAAAACTGTAGTTTTATTTATGGGAAAATCACATTTTCTAAATCAGCCGTGATGACAGAAGCATCTTCACTTCACTTACGGTGAAATGGTGGAGAGCTGGTGAGCATAGCTAAAGCAGCAAAACCTATTTACAGTTTTCTGCACTTACATTCATGTTAGCATGATTAAGAACTTCCTGAATTTGTAGGACCTCGAGTTTATGATTCAAGCCCATAATTCCCTGTGATACCTACTGTATGATAAAGCGGCACACACAGATGATCAAATATTTAATTTTGGTGATGAACTGTTTCCTCACACCTGGGGGCTGCAGCATCTTAAACCTTAGCCATTACTTATTAATCTGAAGGTGCTTCCTTAAGGTTTGGAAACCTTTTTCAGTTGTGGTTACGTATTTCTGCACTCATAATGGTTTCCGAAGCAGCCATAGCCTTTACCTCATTGTTGGAGAGCTGGTACCAGGGCTGTTTTCCGTAGGTGAATATCTCCCAGAGAACGACTCCTAGACTCCAGATATCACTTTCTGTGGTGAACTTTCTGTACATGATGCTTTCAGGAGGCATCCAGCGGATTGGTAGCATGGTGTGACCCCCGACCTTTTTGACACACACCGAACACAGGGAGATTTAGCACACACTTATATAAATAAAAGAGACATACTGTATATTCTCTTATCCGTATTGTATCAGTTTTAGACTAAAATGATGACAGTCAATTACATTTTTCATGAGGTCACTAATTTTGTTTTAAACAAAACATTAAAAATGTAAATATCCAGAAAATTACTTAAATTCACACTTAAAATGTAAACGGTAGAATCAGGTTAGAGCAGGCGTGGCAAACTAAGGCGCGGGGGCCGGATGCAGCCCATTCAGCTTTGTAATCCGGCCCTCCAAGCTTGTCCAAATTATATAATTGGTTTATATTGTGATTATACTTCTGCCTTTTCCTGCAATGCCCACGGTTTCCCTATAGATGGCGTAAGAAGGCTAAAAGCATTTTAGTATTTTAGCCTTTATACATGACTTTTACATGTAATTTATCTTAGTTCACACGAATGCTCCACCTAACTGCACCTGACCCGGCCCCACTGTTCAATTTTAGGACCAATTGTGGACCACGACTCAAATAGTTTGCCCACACCTGTGTTAGAGGACTCTTCTTAGTCATCTTGAATGCAGCAAATAAACAACAAGCTAGTGTTAGTGTGCTAACTGTCATTAGCAGCTCAGGATTAGCTCACATGAGGATTTGTAAGTCCTCAAATTACATTTGTTTATATATATTGAGTGTTTCAAAATAGGGTGTAGTGTACATTTAAACAGGTGTCATTACAATAAGAGGCTAAGTTAGCGGCTACATAGCTTGTTGTGCTAAGTAGTCAGGCTATCACTCAGGCACGCAACTCTTTTTGGCACACTGCAGTGACAGGAAGGAGAGCTAAAAGTCAATGTTTTTTTATTTACATAAATGTACTTTTATTTACAAAAGTCCCTGCTCCTGTTTTACTACAAATGTTTTTTTTAAATAATTAAAACTGCTTTTTTTTGCTACAGTAACAGTTTGCTACATTCATTCATGTGTAACTGATTTATACTGTTGCAACAGGCGCTAGATCCAATCCCAGCTATCGTAAAGGTGCAACACTTTGCACCTTTACTGATACAGTACTCTAGTCACTGTGACTGTGCAGAACTGTCACAACTGTTTTGAACAATCACCAATCTGCTAAGTACTCAAAGAAAATGGACACACAGTGAGAACATACAAACATCAAGCAGAAAACCCTTACGGTGGAGCTGGGACAGAAAACTAGCCAATCATACCACTCTGTGGCCCGCAAACTCTCAAATGTTGTTAAATTATATTGTGTGAGTCAGCATTGGCATTCACGCAGATTTAACTCTCTGAATATATCTGATCTCATAGCGGCAGCAGCATAAACTACACTGCAACTGTTAATGTTGCAAAAATCCCCAGGTTTTAACAAACATCCTTATGAGGCAACAGTGAGTGAACTATTCAAACAGTTATTCCATACCATTAAAATGCTGTTATCTCTTCACAGCAAATTGACACATTAAGTATTTCAGAAGATTTCAGGACAGGGCTTTATGGATTTGAATAGTGTTTGGATGAATTTATATTGGCTGACCTTCTGATGGTTCTGTGATGTTCGGGGGGGGGGGGGGCATTTCTGCAGGGCTTGGATTTTTAATCCCAACATGTCTCACATTACCTGGAATGTAACCTGTGCCCCTGTGCCGATGCTGTTTTGTTCACATTGAATCACTGTTCTGCCTTTATTTCTTCTCCTCTCATGAATCGCCTGTGCTTCATCGCTTCGCGGACAGCACAATCGATTTTCCGAGCTTTATGCTGGCTATTAATGGCTTGCTACCCACACTTGGCCTGTTTCTATGTTAGTCAGTTGGTTATTTAATGGTGTAATAAAATGTGCACAGTCAGATAGCCATCAGGTTCACTGTTATGTGTGAGAAACATATCTGCCTTCATTTCTGGAGCTTGCACTCCGAAGCTCTGGCTTCTCTCTCTATCTGGAATAGCTCGCTTTCTTCTCTTGTTTATTAGTTTTATTCATTTACATTTTCTATTACAGCAAGAACATAATATTAATCTTTTAATCTAATCTAATTACAAAACAATGTTTTTATGGTAATGTTCAAAAAATAGTTACAATGAAAGCAACTGGACAAAGTAGGTTTTTTTAAGAAGTTTCGCCTTTCATCCAAGAGGCTTCTTCAGTTCTGACTGACTACTGGGAAATTCTGGTATTTAGCCTTCAGGGGGCTACATACCTGTAACAAGGGTCGTTGCAAAAAGGGGGGATAAAGGTGTGGTGAAACACATCCTATTCAAAGGAGGGCAGAATGTAAAGTTACAAGGTTGGAGGTGTGAATGGGGAGTGATACCATAGCTATGGTTAGCTAATAGTTTAACCTGAGCGACACTTTTGCCTGGGTGTCCTTTGAAATGAAACTGGGGTCTTGTTTTCAGGGAGAGGGTTGAAATTTTTTGGGGAGAGAACTCAGGACGACATTATAAGTGGATGAAAGGTTGTGTCTCAAACCACCTCCTCTATTGAGAGATGGTTTCTCCAGATTGATGTAGATGGCTTCCTTCACCCCTCTCTCAAACCATCTGTCTTCTCTGGTGAGGATATGTACATCCCCATCCACAAAAGTGTCATGATGGCAGTCGTGACTGTTGTTTCCCTGTGTTCCCCCTTGTTTTCCCCATCCTTGTGTTGTGTGTACTTGTTTCTGTCTGTGTGGTGGGCGTGGCACATTTCCCTGGATAATCACTGATGAAGCACCCCTGCCGTTCCTCAGCTCACCTGCCTTCCATCAAGTCATCACTCCGACTGCATATAAACCCTGGCCTTTCTCCCACTCCTTGTCAGATTGTTTGTTCAGCCACTGTGGTCAATCTCCTGCTACCTGCTTGCCTGCTCTCCACCAACCATCTCCAGACATCCCACACTCCTTGTGCCTCCTTCACCTGTTCCAACCGCTGCTTCACCTCAGCCCTTTCCCTCCACC